ACTGCCCCCCATAGACACACACTGGCCCCCATAGACACACATTGCCCTCATAGACACACACTGCCCCCCATACACACACTGCCCCCCATACACACACACTGTCCCCCATACACACACACTGCCCCCATACACACACATTGCCCCCCATACTGCCCTCTTACACACACTGCCCCCATACACACACATTGCCCCACACACTGCCCCCATACACACTGCCCCCATACCGTACACACTGCCCCCCATACGTTATTTTGCTGCCCCATACGCACGTTACTTACACACATTGCCCCACCGCTGCCCCATGCGTTGACCCACACACTGCCCCCATGCACACACACCTTTATACTGCCCCCAGCGCACACATTGCCCCCCATACTGCCCCCCATACACACACATTGCCCCACACACTGCCCCCCATACACACACATTGCCCCACACACTCTTGGAGGTGATGAAGGAGATCTATAGCTTCTGCTTCCAACGCGAAATCACCCTCCAGACAATGGAGGGACGCCAGCGATTGGAAACTCCTTCGGCCCATCTTCCTCGAGCTCGCAAACCACAGGGGCCTGTTCACAGTGGACATTTTCGCCTCCCAGATCAACTATCAGGTCCTGACCTTCAGCTGGCTCCCTGATCCAGCATGCTCAGCGATGGATGCTTTTCTTCGAGCGTGGCCTTCACGGGGAGCTTATGCATTTCCTCTGTTTGCTGTATTGCTGCAAGTTCGACGTCAGTGTGTGTCTTTGGTGTTGCTGATTCCACAATGGCAGAGTCAAGCCTGGTTTCCAGAGCTTCTGTATCTCTCCCATCGGGATCCACTACTCCTGCTGTCCCCACCGATGCACCGCTCCAGCTCCCGGGGCAACCCTCATCCCCTCATGAGGGACGGCCACCTGCGCTTGGTGGCCTGGACTCTTTCAGGGGAACCTGGAATGTCGAGGCGTTATTGCAGTCGGCTAAGGACCTCCTCTGGGACTCCTGGGCCCCTGGGACTAGAAGATGCTATTGATCAGCATGGGGTTCCTGGTGACGGTGTCTGGAACAGGATACCAATCCCTTTACGGGCCATGTAACCAGCGTGCTGAATTTTCTTTCTCACCTGTTTGACCTGGGATGATCCTATCGTTCGGTTAATGTGGCGAGATCAGCTATCTCGGCGGCCCATGTACCACTTAGAGGTTTGCTCATTGGCCAGGATCCGCTAGTCTGCAGGCAGTGGCATCTCTAGGATTCATTTTTCGGGGGGGCACATGGAGGGCCAGTGACAAAAGTAGGGGGGCACATTTAACCCCGCCCTCATCGCAGTTTGACCCCGCCCCTGTCGCATGTTAAGCCACGCCCCCGACACAATGTGTTTTGTTTTTTAATAATACCTGGTGGAGGATTCATTATTTTCCACCAGGGATTATTAAAAAAACAAACACATTATCCTTGATACAGTGCCATAGTTGCCAACATTCGCAAAAAAAATTCCAAGGACATTTTGCAGCACAGCTATCAATTACTGTCTGGGTATAATATCCCTGGACAGTCAGTGCTCTCTGTATAATACAGGGTTGTGTGTATAATAAATTGGGACACTCAGTGCTCCCTGTATAGTGCTACTCTCTGTATAATCCCAAGACAGAGAGCAGCACTATACAGGAAGCACTGACTATCCCGGGATATTTTATACACACAGATCTGTATTATACAGATAGCTGAGCATATACCCCAATCTCTAGACTACTAGTACCTGTCAACAGCAGCTCCCAGGCGCGTGTAACAGGGCTAAAGTGTGCGGCAGCTCACACAGATTATTCAGCGGTAAAGTGCACTCGCTGGCAGAGCCAAACTGGGAATCCCTGGGAATCCAAAGCAGCCCTGGAAAAAAACATATGCCATTCCTACAAGTCAAAATATATATATATATATATATATATATATATATATATATAGTACAGTAAGCACACAAGCTCACTGACATGCGCAAATAGGCTTACTGACAGACAAAACTCTCTGACTCACACACAAGCTTACTACAGACACTCACTTGTATAAACAGAAGGCTCACTACAAAGAAGTTCAGGGACACACACACAAGCTCACTAAAGACAAGCTCACTGACACACACATGCTCACTGACACACACAAGCTGTACCATTTTAACAGAGTTAAGGGCCCCTGGGCAAAGCAATGCACTGGGGCCCTTCCTACACAACTCACAGGAATTTTAATTATTGATAGACTGCGGAGTCCATACACACACACAGACTCTGCTGAGTCCATACACACACACAGACTCTGCTGAGTCCATACACACACAGACTGCTGAGTCCATACACAAACACACAGACTGCTGAGTCCATACACAAACACACAGACTGCTGAGTCCATACACACACACAGACTGCTGAGTCCATACACACACACACACACACAGACTGCTAAGTCCATACACACACACACAGACTGCTGAGTCCATACACACACACAGACTGCTGAGTCCATACACACACAGACTACTGAGTCCATACACACACACGCACAGACTGCTGAGTCCATACACACACGCACAGACTGCTCAGTCCGTACACACACAGACTGCCGAGTCCATACACGCACACGCAGACTGCCGAGTCCGTACACACACACGCAGACTGCCGAGTCCGTACACACACACGCAGACTGCCGAGTCTGTAAACACACACACAGACTGCCGAGTCCGTACACACACATACAGACT